CCTCTGTCTCCACCACGGCCTGGTCCCCATTGTTGCTTGCCTGGATCAGCGCGCTCACCCGTCACCATGAGTCCCCTCTCGCGGGCTCCCACCCTCCGCGCTCCGCAGTCTGACCTCCCTGCAGCCGCCAGAGGTCACCTGGGAGCGTCTGAGTCAGGCCCCGTCTGCCTCTGCCCACCGCCTTCCCAGGGCTCCCACCTCCCTCGGGGTAAAAGCCCAAGTCCTCCCTGCAGCCCAAGAGGCCCTGCACGACATCAGGCACACAGAGATGCTCCATCAATGTTTGCTACACAGATGTAAGGTAGAATATGGGAGGCAGAATAAGGGATCCTGGAGAGCCGCGGGGAGCTTAGAATCCGAGTCCTTCCAGGGCCAGCCTGTAACCTTCAGTGAAGAAGCCTTCCTGGCCCAGAAACCCGGGGCGCCGCTGCAGGCCTTCCACCGGGGGGCGGTGCACCTGCAGCTGTTCAAACAGGTGTGCCAGATCCGGAGGGCGGGGCTGGGGCCGGAGGGGCGGACGCCTGGACCTCCATCAATGTTTGCTACACAGATGTAAGGTAGAATATGGGAGGCAGAATAAGGGATCCTGGAGAGCCGCGGGGAGCTTAGAATCCGAGTCCTTCCAGGGCCAGCCTGTAACCTTCAGTGAAGAAGCCTTCCTGGCCCAGAACCCCGGGGCGCCGCTGCAGGCCTTCCACCGGCGGGCTGTGCACCTGCAGCTGTTCAAACAGGTGTGCCAGATCCGGAGGGCGGGGCTGGGGCCGGAGGGGCGGACGCCTGGACCCAGTGGGCGGGGCGAGAGTTGGCCCGGCCGGATCCCCCACTCCAGGGTCTCCGGGGTGGGAGAGACAGGACTGAACTCTTGGGTCCCTAAAAATGGGAGCCCCTGACCTGAGTTCCCAGGGATAAGATCTACCTCTAGGTCCCTGAGCAGGTTGGGATGGAACGAAATTATTGAGTCCCTAAGGCGGGAACCTCCTGGGTCGAGGGTGGAGGGAGGGGAGGCTGGACTCTTGGATTCTAGGGACGTAGCGGGGGAGGTGGAACCGGACTCCTGGGTTCTTGGAAGAACGTGGGATGAACTTCAGGGTCCTTCAGTGCGGGCTGGCTTCCAGGGTCCCTGGAGGTGGGGTCGACCTCCTCCAAGGTCACTGAGAGGAGAGGGGGGCCTGTCTGGAGTGGCAGCGTCCTACTTCTCCGACCCTGAGAGGAGTGGGGTCTGGTCCCTGAAGACAGATCCTGACTTGGGGTGGGGGCGGGCGGGGAGACGGTGGACCTCTGGCTTCCTGAGGTGGGCTCCAGACTCCTGAGACCTAAGGTTGGGTTTCTGGAGGGGCCAGGGATGGCTTCTACGTCTTGAGGGTGAGCGGATCCCCAGTCCTCACATTCAGATGTTTGGGGCAGCCTGATTCTCTGACCCTTTGCCCCACCCCCAGTTCATCGAAGGCCGACTGGAGAAGCTGAACACGGGAGAAGGCTTCTCAGACCTCTTTGAGCAGGAGATCACCTGTAGCGGGGCTTCCTCAGGTGAGCTCTGCACCTG